CGATTGGTTGACAAATGACGTTTGCTTCATTGGTTATCTGTCATTTATGACCAATTGGTTAATCGCGTTTAATCGATGAATCCAATCCATATTTTTGAACCATTTTCTCGCGCCGAGAAGTTATGAGGTCATTGGGAAACTGTTTCAAACTAGTTTTGAAAAATTTTTCAAAACTTCGAGATGCAAGAAAACCCCTCTGATGAGTGGATATCATTTGTACACGAAAATAAAAGCACTACTAGAACCATTGCCTTATATAAAATGAAAAACAGCTCCAACTACCTACTACTAGAATTTAGACCTTCAGTTCAACCAAATGGATCAAATCCTTGGTCTTTGAGGAATATTGCCTTATTTTTGCAATTATAAACTGCACCGATTCTTTTAGAACTTTTGGAAGTCTAGTATATTTAGTAATAAAAACTTATCAGGAGTTTCAATTGACCTCTGGTATGCCTTCTTTGAGTGTCCAATTCAGTCCTCAAATAGTGAATTAATATTAAAGTTTTGTTCCTCATAATTATGATTTAACATAAAATAGCAATGAATCTTATAACCTATAGGTACCTCCTAGTTTGATAATTGATTCTCTTCTTGTATTATGTAAATTAATTACCCCGTCATTCAAAATAGGATCTCCAAACAAATAAAAAAACATTGGTAACATGAACGTTAAGCACTTTAACGGCATGTTATTCGGGGCTGTTGAGGAGATATGTTAAATTAGAACATAACAGGTGGGAAATAACAGTAATCTGTTATGAAAAACTTTCCATCATACGAACTTGCATCGTTACTGTTAAAACTCGGCCTAACATGTACGTTACGGATAACGTAAACGTTCAATCATAGGACCCAATAAGTTGATTTAAGGTCTGTTCGCACAGAAATCACAAACCAGTCCGAGCGATTTTCATTGGTTGGAAACAGTCAGGAAACTAGTCGGAGACTGATTATTTCCCTTATCCATGTATTTGTTTTGTGGTTTCTCAGGGAAATTCCTAAAATTCGTCTTTCAATGGCTCTCTGATGTACTTCTAATTTCTGTTAATTTTTCTGGTTATTACCCATGTCTCGCAACCATACGTGACAACAGGCAGTATACACTCGTTATAGACTTTTGATTTCATGGATCGGTATTGTTTCGTCTGCTTCTGGTGTATTTGTAATAAACTGGATTTTTGTGTAGTTCATGCGTAATCCTACTTTTGCCGCCTCATCCTGTAGTTCTTCCAACATGTCTATCAATTCCTGTTTGTCTTTTGCGAATAGTACAATATCGTCGGCAAATCTTGGATTGTGCAGGCGTTCACCATGTATTTTCAATCCTTTGTTTTCCCATTGTAGCTAGATTATACAGAGTGGCAAAAAAGTCGCGCATAACCTGTCACTTTTTAATTACCTCGTATACGAAAAACTGAAAAAGTGACCTTAATGAAAGTTGTTCAGTAAATTATTTCCCACAATTCTATCTAGACATATTGCCTGTGTCCAGTGACGCTTTAACCTTTCTCTGGCCCGTAGGTCAATTATTTGGTATGGCCTTTCGTGAGTGAGTGTTCTTTTTTATGGGGTTAAATAAAATCATTCAGACGATTTCAAACTACTAATCTGGCAGAATATGAAGACAAAAAATGTTGCCAAGTAGTATTCGGTAAAATCAAAGAAAGGTACTACAAAATGATGGAACACGAATGGTCACAAAACATGCTAGGTATATGGTAGGAACGTCCTAAAAGAAAATGATGGGATTGAGCTCCCAGCCTATTAATCACCACATATTATATGGATGCTGGGGACTAAGTGTACTGATGGGTGCTTCGGAAGAACAGCAACAAATTAACCCTGCCATACGTCCCGTATTATACGGGACAGTCCCTTATTCCGAGGTCCATGTCCCGCCTCCCCAAATTTGTTGTCGGGACGCGTAAATGTCCCGTATTCTCTGATATTTCAAAAAGCGTGAAATAGGTAATTCGATTTTGCCCCTCATTCCCTCATCTCTAGTCTCAGCAAATCGCAACGTGCTGGTTATTCGACAGCATTTAACATTTGACAGTTAAGAATTTGGCGAATTCGGCCCAAGGGTAATAATCACCACTAAGGATTGCTTTATTGCTTATCGGCCTCATTTTTGGTAATGGCCACCATATTGGTGTATCACCATTGCCGACGTCATCAACTAAGTCGTCAGCGACGTCAGCTGTTTGCGCCAGCAGTCGTAGTTTAGAATTTAAATCTGTGATGAAAAATATTTAATTTCGATTAACATAATAGGCAAATAGGAAGATACAAACGAGATCTGAAAAATAGTTGTTTTAAATTGTTAATTAATGTAGTAAAACCAAATATGCATAAAGTAAAAGCGTTGATTCCTGTGGTGCAAACAGCCTAGGTCAAGGCGAGAAACGACATGCTGTCTACGTCACAGATGGTAATTTGGTGGGGTAGGGGCATTGAGGTAGTATATAGGGGAGGAGGCGACGTCACCTGACAAAAAGTGGTAGCGGGTCTGCCATACTAGTGCTGGTTTTGTGTCATTACTTACCTATTGACATTACAACTGTCATACTCAATTTCTGATTTCGAGACGTAATAAAGTTTGTTTCGCCAGGATTTGTACTTGCCACCAGCATTTGCCTTCCTTGTTTAACAAATCAAAATTGACTGAAACAAATCAATGACGTCAAAAACGTTCGTCGGTTCTTAAATCATTTTAATTTGTCAAAAAAATTAGGCAATTCAATCCATCTGTCAGATAGGGAAATTCAATATGGCGTGGCGGCCAAGCAAGTTTGTTTTGAATGTGTTTTTATGTGTATTTCAAATTATTTTGCTTAGAGTTTTGCTTGCAACTTTGATTTGGACTATTTAATAAAATATTTGTTGACTAGGTACCTAAACTAATAAATCGAGCAGATTCTAGATGTTTTTTTCTGTTTTTTGGCCCATGTGTGGCCGCCACGCCATCTTGAAAGTCACGTGGTTTGAATTGCCTAATTGAATGTGTCATATGAATTAATCTACGACAACCCTTTTTTTTCAAGTTTCAAGGTCAAGTATGAACCCTGGTGAAACGGACTATAGTTATGTTTTTTAGAAGTATAATTTTTTAACAATTTTCAGGCCACATAAAAACAATTATAAAATACATGTAAAAATTGAAATACCAATAGAGTCTGACTTTTAAATATATTTGAGGTATATGAAGTAAACAAATATGACATTTGAGCTGAATCTAACCCTGATACAGCGACCATATTGGTGCTGGAATAAGCTCCTAATGATCCCGTTCGTTATCAATGCATACTCGTATACGGCAACAGCGTCTCCTTCTATATAATATCTCAATGGGTAGGAAGCTTCAGATTTGTTCTACACAGGCCTTATGAGGATAGGCTAGCCTGTAGTAGTAGTGTGTATTATCCGTGAATTCGATCTACGGGCGGGGTCCCGAAAAAACAGAAATTCGCCTGCGGCGCTATTTTTTCTTAAATACATGAAACATCTGCTTCATAAAAATGTCCCGTTTTTTTATCAGAATATTATGGTAGCCTTAGATCAAATCCATTAGCGAGGAAAAGATGCATAAAGGGTTGCAACTTTGAGGAAAGTTCGTATCAAGTTGCCTGTGCATGTTCTACAAACTCAATAACTACAAGGCACGACTTCGTGGTACACTGGACCCTTAAGACACTGCTCAAGTCCTTGGATGCTCCAGAAGAAGCTCAAAGAAATTTACAATTTGGCAAAGCAGCGCAAACACTAACAGTTTCCTGGTGTAGCCGTTGCCAGTTGCCACGTGCCCGTGCTGCGCTAATGACGCGACGGTGATTCCGCGCAGCTCGGTGACTTTAGGGCGTGTTCCGGATTTATTCTCGATGGAGCGATTCCAGAGTATCGTGACGTCAGATAGTGCACTCTGGCCAAACCAAATGTTCTTGTGCAGTGTGAATTATGAGAATTGAAATATATGCTAGTCCTGCTACTAAGCAAGTCGATGTTTTTAATATAGTGGACTTTTATATTTTATATCATAAATTAAAGGCCAGCAGTTGGCCTTCATCCTCTAGTGGCCCGTAGGACATGACCTAATTGTCCTAACGGATAAAGTGTCCCTGCCTGTGTCACTTCTGGTTTGTTTCCTATCTAGATCAACTTTGTTTTTTCAAATAGAACACCCTGTATGTGATTGCATATTTGGATTCCACGTGAAATTCTGAGTAGATTTCATGTAATATACCCTATACCTAAGTTTAACTGTTTTGGAAATATTGACAATTGAAAGTTGACTCTTTACAACTTTGACAGGCTGTAAAACCTAAACGCTTAATTTTAGAGGAAAACCGTCACATTCCTGTCTTAGATTTTTATAAACTATCATTTGACATCAACTTTGAATTTAATCCATGATTAAAAATTCCAATTAAATTTAATCTTCGTTTAATTCAAAGTTGATGTCAAATGAAAGATTATGAAAATCTAAGATAGGAATGTGAAATCGGTTTTCCTCTAAAACTAACCATTTAGGTTTTACACGCTCTCAAAGTTGCAAAAAAGTTAATTTTCAACTGTCGATATTTCCAAAACAGTTAAACTTAGGTATGGGGTATATCACGTGAAATCTGCTCAGAATTTTACGTAGAATCTAAATATGTAATCACATACAGGGTGTTTCATTTGAAAAAACAAAGTTGGTCTGGATAGCAAACAAACTAGAAGTGACAGAAACAATTTGTCTTGGTAGAAATATGAGAAATAATTTACTGAGCAACTTTCATTAAGGTCACTTTTTCGTATACGAGGTAATTAAAAAGTTACAGGTATTATGCGCGACTTTTTTGCCACTCTGTATTTATAAAAACAAGCAATAAACTAATAATTTTTGTAGGTACCCTCAATAGCACCGGGGATGCAATGTTGCCATGTTTAGTACATAATAGATGGGAAATACAATATTTAAAAACAAAACAGGGATTTTTTAAAAAAAAAACCTCATCAACAATAACAGTATGTATTTATTATGAAGAAAATTCTAGAAAATCCTACATAACAAGCATTATTTCGGGAAGGATTTTTATTTGTGCTAGAGAATAAACAATTGCTTTTGATTTTCCTTTGAAAATGGAATGAACAAAAATTTCCTCAATACAACTCGAGTTATTTAAAATTAAATAAATAATTCTAAATCTACATACCACAGCACTAAATCAGTTGAATGGCTTCATAAGCCAAAACTTGCATTATGTATTTCTTCTTTCACTTTTTATTCGAGGTACGTTTTCGGAATAAATAAATAAGCAAAAAATAAATAAGTAACCCTAAATAAACAAAACTAACTTCTTGAAAAAAATGAGAAAAAAATTAAAACTAAATAACTAAAGAAAAAAATAGTAATAAAAACAACTACTAACGTCTCACTCCTCAAAGAGAAGCAGGGAAACGATGATACCAATGGTGTTTTTTTTTCTAAACTAAAAAAATAAGCAAAAAAAAAAACAAAATAACTAAAAAAAATACTGATATAAACAAGTAAAGTCGCACTCCTCAAAGAGAAGCATGGAAATGATACCAACGGTACTACTGGTCTGTTGGTTTTATTAAAACTTGCTGAAGTTGTTCGAGCGCAGTAATCAAAGACAGTTTCAGGCCTTTACTCACAGGAAGAAGGGGAAAATCTGGCTTGACCTAAAACAATTTCCATTAGAAATAATTTTCCTATAAATATTGGAATTTACATACTGAATTGTCACAAAACGACATCAATCGTTTGCACCACTTTTCGGCATTTCTTTCGAAATGGCTCAGGATCTCTTTCTTGAACACTTCGGGCGGATTTTCGAGCAATAGGGTCATGCTTTGTACCAATTTTAATATCACCAATTCGTTGTAGGTTCTCGAATTTTCATATCCCTGCAAAGAAGGGTCTTTATTTTATTATAAATGCTTCACTGAAGAAATTCGAGAAATATTTTTTTTCAAGATTTATCATATTTGACTTATGTTAAACTTCCTCAATGGATAGCTACAGATTTTAAAGAATCAAGTACTTAGTCTATGTCTTCTGTGATGCAAGTGCCGACGCTTAAGCAGCTTATATTTAAAAAAAAAAAAGTAGATGAAGATTTAGGGTAGCACCTATCAAGAAGTCAACTATACCTCGTCTTGAACTTTTAGCTGCTATCATTGGTGTACGATTATTTCAAAATGTTTACAATAATCATGGAAGATTTCTTTTAGTCAGATTCATCAACAGTTTTATCTTGGTTAAGGAGAGAAGACCAATGGAAACCGTTCATCTGGAATCTTGTGGAAGAAATAGGAAAGTTTACCAAACCTGAAGATTGGTAGATACTATGTTCCTGGTCAATTGAACCCAGCAGATCTTACTTCAAGGGGCTGTTCTGCAAAAGCACTAGCTGAAAGAAAATGGTGGGAGGGACCTCGATGGTTACTTGATTCAGTTTCAAAGTGGTCAAGTCAAAATTTTGAGTGCGACGATGAAGAAGTTAGTGAGGAAAAAGACTGTAGTAGGATTGTAACCAAAGATTTTTCATGGTATTAACAGTATTTCTCAAAATTCAACTAAATAGTCAATATTATTGCGTGGTTGCTACGATTTGTCAATAACTGCAGAAAGAAGAATACCGAAAACAAAAACTTATTGACACCAAAAGGAATTAGAAGAGTCAAGAAAAGTTGTCATTCGTTTAATACAAGAAGAAAGTTTTCAGTCCGAAAATGATCCCAAACTGTCACCTTATAATCATGTTGTTATTAAACGTCTTATTTTCGAAGTACACAGTAAAAACAACCATGTTGGTGTATAAGGATTGATGAGCATTTTACGGAAAAACTATTGGATTCTTCAATGCATACGCACTGTTAAATCAATGAATGTACTATATGAAAACGTTTCAGAGGTAAATTGTTAGATACTCCTGCCATATTTTTTACCGGAGAACAAAGTACGGAATGCTGCGGTTTTTGAAATTATTGGAATAGATTTAGCTGGCCCTTTACACCTCATATCTAACCAAAAAGTATGGATCATACTGTATACTTGAGCCATCTACTGTGCTGTTCACAGTTGATTTCATCCTTATCCAGTAATACCTTTCTAGATGTTAAGAAAATTTATTGCTTGTAGAGGTCGACCTTCAACAATTTATTCCGACTATGGAAAGAATTTCGTTGGATGTGTCAATGCTTTAGAAGACATAGATTGGCCAAAAGTAGCTGAAAACTGCAGTACTGTATAGAAAATTGAATGGAGAATGAATCCTCCAACAACTGCCTGGTGGGAGTAACTCATAAGGATGTTGAAATATTTATTACATAAAACACTTGGAAAAACAAGCCTTGATATCGAAAAGCTACAGACCATATTTTGCAATTGTGAGGCGGTTTTGAATGCACGACCACTGCCATATATTTCTGAAGATTTCGATGACTATGTTGTTATAACACTGTCAATGTTCTTATATGATGTTAAAGAAGTAGTAATTGTAGATCTTGATTTAATTAACGCCAATGATCTGGGGCCCGATTTCCAAAAGAATAAATTTTTCGTCTTTATCATTCTCCTTCACTTTTCGATTACGTTGACAAGAACAAAACATTCGTTCTATCAGGAAGCTTCACTCCCTGAGACGAGAATAAACCTCCAGATCATTGGCTTGTTTAGTGATGTAATATTTCCGAAATTTATTGAAATTTAAGGGAACATTCAATTTTCTTCACTGTAAGTGCAAGGAACTGTTTTTAAATAAAGTCAAGTTTATATAAGGAGATATATTCTGTTCAGCTTGAAATGTGTTAAGAAAAATGGTTTTATCAACTAAAAAGGTAACATTTCGTACACTGGTACATATCTTTTTCTCCTTTTTTTAAACATTTAGAGTGCGTTCGAAATCATCCTGGGCGTCACACCAAGTGCACACCAGCTATGAATTATACATGGCTGGTGTGCACTCGGTGTGACGCCCAGGGTGCGTTCGAACACCCTCAAAGTGATCCTGAGTCGACACTTTTGTTCGGTTATAGAACAATAAAAAATCATACACTGCGCCGGTGTTTCCCCGCAACGAAACCATAATAAAACTGCCACAGCTCGTTCCTTCAAAACTAGACACGCCAATACGCCGTTGATATCGAGGTTAGGGCCGGTTTCTCAATAGCAATTCACCCTTGGGTGAAGCATAACTCCAGGGTAAACATTAGGCCTGTTCGCACAGAAATCACCAACCAGTCGGAGCGAATTTCATTGGTTGAAACTAGTTTTCTGACTGTTTCCAACCAATGAAATTCGCTCTGACTGGTTTGTGATTGCTGTGCGAACAGGCCTATTGCAACTGGAAACGTTTCACCTGGAGTTAAAACTAACGCAGGTGACTCGCTATTGAGAAACCAACCCTTAGAGGTTAGTTTGACGCCAACGTGCCGCTGTTAGGTGATCCTGTGCCTCTGAAGTGACGCGAGGCGACATGGAATGTTGGCGGGAAATTTAAAATCCGAAAATTCCTGCAATATTTCAACCGAATTTTCGTAAAATTCCGAATGTTCCCAAAACAAATCCGAATATTTCCGAAATTTCCGTAATTTACGGGAATGTTCTAGTTGAAATATTCGCTACTCACATCACTAGGCTTGTTCACGTTGTTCTTTGTAAAATAAAAATATTTTTGGAAATAATATTCTGCAAAGGTATAACTATACTTGATAGAAGTGGACTCCGAGGATAAAAGTAATTATCAATTGTAACAACTCCAGTTTATTATAGAGCGATTTGATGAAAGTGTGAAAAGCACAAACTTATATTGTTACCTGTTGTGTTTCAGTCTGCTTGTCATAGCCGGCTTCATTATAATAAGGCTCAGACACCAAAATCAATCCCTGTATTGAAACAATCAACTGGAGAAGAGTACTGTTAGGACCCCACACTTCTGTACCTTTGCCCATCCACGTACCCAAAAGCGAAACGCATACTTTGCCTAATAAATAGATTAATCTTAGCACAAAATCCACAAAGCTGTTAACGTCTCACCTTCGACATACAAATTAGGATTGAGCCTTTCCGAGCTGTAGCTAATGTAATGCACCAATGGCGGTGAACGAGGATAGTCATTGCTCAACTTAATGTCAAACAAAAACAGCCCATCTTCGTAAGGAGTTTTATCAGGACCTCGAATCATTACGCTGAGCAAATCGATTCTTTCGTTGTATGAACGCACCCAGACGTTAGGAGGTAACGAATCTTGCAAAAGTTTGTATTCTTTCATTACAGTCTTGAGAAACCTAAAATTGCTCATTTATAATAAAGCAGCTTTGATTATATTGATGCAATTACTTTTGTGAATCGCCAGGCTCAAACTTTGAAGTATAAAAATGATGATTCTCTGGTGCTTCATCGACCATAGAATACCATTCAGAAGCGGGAATTTCTTCGCCGGACGGAATAGTGGGCAGCAGCGTTTGGGGTTTTTTGGGTTTCAAGGGACTGAGAATCGAAAATGAATCGTCTGGAGTAGTCGGTACGCTTGGCAAGGGTGTACAATTGGGCGGAGTGATTATAGTTTCAGTTGCTTTGGTGCAAACGCTGAAAGTCTGATTGTCTCCAATTCTACTGATTATTTCTGCGTAGGACAAATCCATGCGGATTTTTAATGTTGACAATAATTCCACGCATAAGTTGCTTTCGGAAATGGTGTCAGAGGACTGGGAGATATCGGGCAAGCTTGGAGTAGAAGGAGATTCTTTATTTTCGATTTCAGCGTTGACTTTGTTTTCTAGTTTAATCATTTTTTTGATGTTTTCCTGTTCGGCAGCTTTCGTTTTTGTTACAGTCCAATTAGAATCGTTTGAGAAAATTCTACCGCGCAACTCTATATTTTGCGCTTTAGCTTTTTCTTTGGCTTGTAATAATAATGCCTGAAATATAATTTTTTAAGTGTTTTTTAGGTAATTGTTGCCAAACTTACCTGGAAATGTTTACTTTTTAAACTAAAAAACGAAGTACCCAATAGCTTATCCAAATAACTATAGTTTTCATAAATTAAGAGCAAATCTTTGAGAATCTAAAAAATACCTCTCAAAATATGTTATAATTATTATAGAAAATCTTACTGTAAAACTGTCATTGGTAATAATACGATTTTTAAAGGCCTCTTTTAGAAAAACTATTCTCGATCTAACAAAATCCAAACGACCCGCCATATTTTGCAACACCGTTTCGTCGGTCAAATCGCTTCCAGCAAACGATTCAATGCTTTCAGTTTCCCAAGAAACCTACAATTATAGATAATCAATACAGCCTCATTGAAACAAAAAAAATATATATACTTTTTCATCATCTGTTGAACCTTCGCTTTCAGCATACCCTAAATCGGGATCGGGCATCAGTTCAATGTCCTGAGGCCAACATTTTTCTTGGATTTTCGACAACCATTGTACAATTACAAAGCCTTCTATGCAACTGTCTACGATTTTGCCAACACGTTCTTCTTCAGCCGATATGGCACGCACTATACTTCCCGGTCTGAAGACAAATTTTGCGTGTTTTTTCAAGTCGTAGACGCTCACTTCTTCTACGCTCACGCAGTGGGCTTGTTTGTCTTCACTTGAATAGCTGAACCACTTTGAAACAAAAATTTTGATGAATTTAATAAAACTATTGTAACAAATTTACTTTTACTGTTGCAGTTCTTTCTAAATAATCAACTAGTTGTACAACGCCGTACTGACTTGAAACCAAGCATTTTTCCTTTGACCCATTGTCTTTAACTACCCATTCTCCAGGGAAAAACTCGTGATCATCCAAAGATATGGAATAATACAATTGGGTGGAGGGAATATCTTTTTCTTCGGTACCATCTTGCCACACGACTGTGACTTTGGATTCCACATAAATAATCTGGATTTGAACAAGTATTATTTGTTAAAAATAGAACAGGATTTGATTTGACTTTTAAAAATCGTTTTTGAGAATAAAACGATACTTACTTCAACTGGTAAACTATGACCCGCACTTAGTTCATTGGCTCTAGGTGGATAATGCTTTTTGACTTCAATTATGGATGGTTCTTTGCTAGAAGATTCACTGACACCTACAGAAAAAAAGCAAATATACAATGATATTATAAACTACAAAAATTTTGGAAAGTAGCTGGTAATACATATAACATCAATATTGACTAAACACACCTTCAGTTATTTCTTCTTCTGAATCCTCTCCTTCCTCAGTCCACCAATCCTCATCTTCCGGATCATCAGGAAAAACAGGCGGACTCTGATCAATAGCCAAAGGACTGACGGGATACAACAAAGAAGAACTCCGAATTCGGGGCACTCTCGAATTGATTTTCGAACTACAACTGACTATGTGACGTATTTTGGGGACCTCTGGTCGATGTAGTATTGACAGTTTTTTGTACCACTCTTTTTTCTTCAACAAAACATCGCGTGAGGTTAATTTCAATATTCTCCTTTCTCCAAGTTCCAAGCTATTGTCACTGGGGTGTTCTAGCACTTTTAAAGTTTTAATATTTGGTTGGGTGAATTCAGACAGATCCATGTGACCAGAATCGTTGTACATAGACACATCAATGACACAATCCACAACTTTCTGTATAGTAAATCTTTGTCTCTTATGGATGTTTTTTCGCATATCTTTGGTTTTTTTTATCCACTTGGGTTCTTTGAATTTGCTCGGGACGCCGATCACTTCTTGACCGGCATAGTAAATTTCCAAAGTGAATTTGCTTCGTTTCCACAGCCAATAATCGTCAATCACCCTGTTAATGCTAGTAAGTAACTCGACGATTGAACCATCTTTTGATTGCATTGTTATTAATTGGTCAATGCCCTGGAAAATAAGAGAATTTTTTGTTTAAAAAAGACCCTACTCAAAGTTTGAAGTCCCTTTGATTTCTTGAAGTATTTTGAGAAGCTTTCAAATGTGATTTAATAGAATTTTTTTATGATTTTTCTGTATTTAAGTAAGAAAAAATTCATATTTCCCTGTCCTGAGTTTAAGATCCATTTCTGGTTTATTCTGTTTGATGAAAATATCCTACTTGATAAATCCTGGAAGTTTGAAGACTTTCTGATTGTTTGAAGTATTTTTCAGAAGCTTCCAAAAGTGTTTTAATAGAAATTTTGTATGATTTTTCTGTATGTGAGTGAGAAAAAATTTATAAATCCATTTCTGAGCCCGAGATCCATTTGCGATTTGTTTTGTTTGCTAAAAAGACCCTACTCAATAAATCCTTAAAGTTTGAATTCTCTTTGATTGCTTGAAATATTTTGCAGAAGCTTCCAAAGGTGATTTAATAGAAATTTTTGCATCTAAATGAGAAAAAAATGCATAATTCCATTTCTGAGCCTGAGATCCATTTGCGATTTGTTTTGTTTGATAAAAAGACCCTACATAATAAATCCTGAAAGTTTGAAGTCCCTCTGATAGCTTGAAGTATTTTTCTAAATTTTGCAAAGGTGATTTAATAGAAATTTTGTATGATTTTCTGCATCTAAGTGAGAAAAAATTAATTCATAATTCGATTTCTGAGCTTGAGATCCATTCGCGATTTGTTTTGTTCGATAACAAGATCCTACTCAATAAATACTGAAAGTTTAAAGTCCCTCTGATTGTTTAAAGTATTTTTCAGAAGTTTCCAATGGCGATTTATTAGAAATTTTGTATGATTTTTCCGCATCTAAGTGAGAAAAAATTCATAATTCCATTTCTGACCCTGAGATCCATTCGCGATTCGTTTTGTTTGATAAAAAGACCCTACTTAATAAATCCTGAAAGTTTGACGTCCCTCTGATCACTTAAAGTATTTTTCAGAAGTTTCCAATAGTGATTTGGAACTGGCATGTTTCCAACATAGTTCAAGAATGCCAAAATAACTTCTATACAGGGTGATTCAAATTTTTATAAAATACACCAATTTTCAAAATCCATTTGTGAAGGGTTTCAAAGTTATACAGAAAAACACGTCTTTCAGGTGTCCTATATGAAGGGGCGTAGCTCCCTTAGGAAGCATTTCCGGACCCATGTTAATAGGAACTTTTTGTCTTGTTTTTATGCAAGGAATACGCCCCCGAAAGGATGCCGCTTACTTTTGAATCAGCGTGTATATAAAAAAGAGTCACATAAAAATACAAAAAAACTATAGGCCGATATCTGTATTGTGTCTATTCTCCAAAATTGCAGAAAAAATAATAAAAAAACGAATAATTAATTTCATAAATAATACATCTGGTATGGACAAATATCAATATGGTTTCCAGAAACAAAGCAACATTCTGGGAGCGACGGCTGATTTGCTTGAATATGTGTCCTCTGAAATGGACAAAAACAAATATGTGCTCACTATATTTGTGTATTTTCAAAAAGCCTTCAATACATTTGATGTAGATATTCTTCTAGAAAAACTGCAAAGAATGGGCTTCAGGGGTGTTGGATATACACTAATGAGATCATATTCTAAGTATCGGATACATTACACTGAAATTAACAAGATCAAGAGTAATAAAGCTGAATTAAAGATCAGAATTGCCCAGTATTCTGTACTTGGCCCATTGCAATACTTATTATATGTCAAAAATTTAAAGTATGTGGGTGAAAGCCAAGTACTACATGTTTGCAGACAATACAGCTCTAGTTTTAACTGCAGATAATTCCAAGAAATTCGAAAATCTAGCAAACCAAGATTTGAACCTATATTTTAGGTGGTTCTGTAAAAACAAGTTATCAATAAATATAACTAGAACGGTGTATATGGTAGTGAAACAAAAAAACAAACCAAACTGTGATGTAAAACTGTACCTGAATCGAGCTGAATAGAGTAAGGCTGAAAGAAGTGACTGAATATAAGTATGTACCTACCATTTCAAATCAAATCAAATCAAAATAGCTTTATTGATATAAGAAAAATCAATCTCATTACCAAAGCAACTTAAAATTAGCAAAAAAATTTAAATACACGATTTTAAATTAAAAATTCTTAAATTGAACAAAACATATTGAAATAAACAAGATAAGAAGTACAGTACAGACAAGTTAACTACTTACACATGTACCACCATAAAATATCATGTAATAAAATGACGAAAACAATAAATAAAATTTAAGACGAAAAATGTATCAAAATTAAAAAATAAACAAAGACTTAAAAACAATAATAAAACAGGTACAAGATAAGTGAACCAGTAGACGGTCTAAAATTGGTCCTCAAAATATTCAGTCACACTATAGTAGGCTTTCTTTAATAATAGCTCCTTTACAGCCAATTTAAATCTTTTTAGGGATTCTAGGGATCTTAAGCTAATAGGCAAATGGTTATACATTTTTTTACCAGTGTAAAACAAAGAATTCCTCACAAGTGCAGTATGAGGTATAGGTAGAGGTATAGTGCCTATTTGACGCGTATTATAATGAGACGCGCTCGTCTCTCTTCCGAACTTCCTAAACATTAAACAGACAGTCTCCAAAATAAATATACCTGCCAGGGTCAGAATGTTATTTTGAATAAACAAGGGTTTACAAGATTCCCTAGCCCCAACCCTGCACATATACCTGACAGCCCTTTTCTGCAGAACAAAAACAGAATTTATCAGGAAATGGCTCGAATTATCCCAGAAGCAGATTCCATATCTTAAATGGGACTCAATAAGTGCGAAGTAAACCGATTTTGTCATACCTAAATTTAGTTCCCTTGATACAACCCTTACCGCAAAGCACCCCGAGGCCAATTTGTTACACAGGTTCATTATGTGGTTCCTGAAAGACAACCTATTATCTATATTTATACCCAAGAATTTTGCATTCAAGTTGTTAGAGATTAGGCTACTGCCGAGGTTTATATCACCTATATGACAATTAAAGTTTAAAATATTAGTTTTCGAGACATTGAAAGTAAGGTGGTTTGCATCACACCAGTCCTTCACCCCATTGATATCATCTGCCACCATTTTGGCCAATTCCTCAGAACTCTTGCTGTGCCACAATATTGTGGTATCATCAGCGAACACTGTAAATTTACCTCTGATGTTAAGGGAGGTCATATCATTGATATAAATCAGAAACAAAATGGGTCCCAAAACTGAACCCTGAGGCACTCCCGCTTCTATACCGCACTTGTCCGAATTGGCACCATGTAGCCTAACATGCTGGTTCCTGCCCGAAAGATAAGACCCAAACCAACTCAACGAAGTACCCCTGAAACCATACCGTCCAAGCTTCTGCAATAGTATTCCATGATCCACACAGTCAAAGGCTTTTGATAGATCACAAAAGACTGCCGTAGCCGCCTCTTTCTCGTTAAGCTGGAAGTACAGATCCTCAAGAAATGCAAAAACTGCATCACCAGTGCCCACACCACTCTGAAACCCAAAATGAGCCAAACTCAACAGTTTATTCTTATGTAGGAAAGACACATCTCTGTTTTTAACTAGCCTTTCGATAACCTTACCAATTGTGGGTAACAATGAGATGGGTCTGAAATTGGAGGGCTCAGAAGTATCCCCACCCTTATAAATTGGTATCACAACCGCTTCCTTCAATGAACTCGGGAAAAAACCGAGAAAAAAAGGATGGTTTATCAACCAAAGCATCAAGTGCAGACCTTGGCAACCCCTGCAGGAGTTTGATAGAGATGCCATCATATCCAGCTGCATACTTACTCTTAATATCCTTAAAGGTCTGCTCAATTTCCCTCAAGTCCGTAGGTGCTAGAAAAAAAGACTGAACAACACTAACATTTTGTAGAAAGTCCAATGGATTGCACCGAGGAACAATACCACTTGCAAGCTTCCAAGCAATGGAGCAGTAAAATTTATTCAACTCATTAGGCGTTACGTCAGTCCGGTCCTCAATCCTACTATGCTTTCCTCTTAGTTGATTAACAATTTTCCAACTCTCTCTATGCCCATTCTGAGAATTGACTATGCGATTTTCAAAATAAGTTCTTTTGGCTAGTTTCAACGTTTTACGATAAAGTGACCTATATCTATTAAAATATGACACAAAAAAACCACAGTCCATAAAATATTTACGTATATAATGTAAAGCCCGAAGATTCCTGCCAGACCTTCTTATTCCCCCAGTAATCCATGGTTTATGCCTCCTGTTTCTAATCCTCACAACCGGAAATGAACGTTCAAAGACATCAGTCAACAAGACATGGAACCTGCTCAAGGGATCTTCAGTACGAAAAGTACCCAACCAGTCCACAGTCAGGCAGCATTGGTAAAACTTATTAAAATTTCTCTCTGAAAATATCCTACCTCGCTCCTCCGACCGCGGAGCTTTCCGGCCACAAACTGGTAAGCTACAAAGCACAGCCTCGTGATCAGAGAGGCCCGCGCTCACCACATTACAGAAGACATCATCATCCAAACTGGTACAAACATAATCCAAAACAGAAGCAGAATCATTTGTGATTCTAGTTGGCGAATTAACATGCATCTTAAGATTAAATGATTTTAACAAATGCTTCAATGCCAGAGTACATGAAGAATCTTCACTGTCATAGTCAATGTTCAAATCCCCCGTCAAGACAACACTAAATTGAGGACAGAGATTCGATAAAAGAAACTCCAACCTCTCCAAAAATACACTCCCACTACATTGGGGCGGACGATATACAGAAACTAAAAACATATTCAATTTTTTACACTTACAAACAGACAATTCAAACTCTTTCTCAACAATCAAATCTTGAAACCTTAGGCTATTCTCAAATTCAAATTTCTTAGAAAAGTTTTTGTTTATTAAAATTAAGGTACCCCCATGAATAGAGTTCTTTCTACAATACACTGATACTAAACTATAATCTGGTATAGAGATAGGTTCCCCAT